TTAAAATAGCGAAAAAAAAAAAAAAAAAAAAATCAGGATCATTTACGTCCCAGGTGGATCAAACATATTCAAGAGGACACAGGAGGCGAAAAGGTTACAAAAGTAAAATATGCTTTTATTGTTAAGTTCATTTTAATTGACTTTAAAAAAATGATGCAGCACCGGGTCAGCCCCATACAGGACAGTAGAAGCCGGTACCAGCATCACTAACTTAAAGGTTGTTTTTGGTTTTGTTTTTTTTCAAATTGTCAATAATAGATTATAGAGGTGCAGTAGCCTTGTAATTATGATGACCAAAAAAAAGAGAATAAAAATTCATCAACTCTGGACGTGGTGGGGCTAAACATTTGCCAATAAATAACGACACTGCCTCGTTATCTGTTAGTTGACAGGCTGTCAATCAAACTCCCTATGTTTCTAGCGTAACTGACTTGCCTGCGCGCCGCCGGTACGTGGTTTACGTACGCCTGTCACGCAGTCCACAGACGCAAGACGCACAGACGCTGTTTACTCCACCAACGCAACAGTTCTTAGCGGCTTTTTTGACCTATATCTTCCTCGCAGTTCGCACAAAGTTTATTGCAATGGCGACAAGAATCCAGGAGCAGTTAGCCGCAAAAGAAAGTCAGTTTTTGAGGTCGCTGAAAGAAGAAGACAAGGGGTAAAGCAGCGAAGCCAAACTAAGGTGATTCTTGATGATTCATTCCAGCGATGGCGCAACTGAAGCAGACGCAGGGTCTAAAGACTGACGCACTGGTCGCCAAATTACTCCTGCACAGGTCACTTCTGCTTATTATGAAAACGTACTTTATTTCCAAGAGTTAGACAAACGTTTTTCAGGACACGAAAGCGATATTCTATGTCTGAAAACGTAATTTTCAAGGCAAAGAAAGAGTCCGCTTGCTGCTGCGTGTTGTAGTAGTAGCTAGTTCATTCGCACGGAATCTCTGCTCCCCTCTCTGCCCGTTCCGCTCTTCTCCCTGCTCCTCACGGAATCTCCACGCACCGCTCCCCTCTCCTCTCCTCTCCACACTCCCCGCTCCGCTCTTCTCCCTGCTCCTCACTTCTCGTCCGCACACGAAATATCTGCGCACCCCCTCCCCCCGCTCCTCACTTCTCCGTCTTGCCTAACCAACACTATAGTTAGTTGTTTACAAGTCATGTGCAGCGCACCGGCTGTAAACAAACCTGTTTCTGGCGTAAGGATGAGGCGGAAGGAGGCGTTTCTACGTAGGAGCTGTGGGGGAGGGGGGTGGTTTCACGCATGCGCAACATTTGAAAAAGGACAAACAGTCGCTGGATTTCTCGTTCCTTGGAAAATCCTCTATACAACCTTTAAAGGAAAAAAGATATCCCAAACTAACCTGACCAAACAAAAGGCCAAGCATGCGCCGAGCAGCCAAGACAAAGGAGCGAGCATAGCGACGAGCCCACGCCCAGGTGCGTGGAGGGTGAGGCGGCGCGTAGCGAGAGCGCAGGAGCAAGAGAACGCGCCACTGATAGGCGGCCTATTTATACGTGAACCAACCACGCCCCAAAACAGACACAATTATAAGAATACACGCAATGGGATGCGCAAACGGAAGCCAGCACGTAACAAGTAGTTTAATACGAACATTTTAAGACCAAAATGACGAGGCTCACAGCAGCAGGTACAGAGAGGAGCCACAAGATCCCAGTGTAAGTCAATTGGAGCCAGAGTCAGAAGGAGCCAAAAGAGCCTCATGGAGAACTTCATATCTTGCACGCGGCGGCTGCAGCACTCATATATAAGGTCTATGGTCTAAAGCAGGGATCTCCAACCTTTTGCGTCCAGTGAGCTACCTTTACAAAATGAAAATGCAGGAGAGCTACTCATTTTAACGGCCACAAGAAATAGATTCAATATAAGAGGAAAGTCTTAGATGTACAGTTAAATGCCTATAAAACATTAAACCATTATCCATTTATTAGTGCACAAAGTTCAAAATGACACATTTACAGTGGTGATTAATCAAATTTAAATTACAAAGTACAATACGTATAATTCAGAAATCCTCAACGAGCTACTTGCATGGAGGTGGAGAACTATAGTTTGGAGACCCCTGATCTAAAGCTTACTCTCCCTTTAAAAATACATCTGAGCTGATGTTCCGTTCAGTGCCAGTGTTAAAGCGACGTGCACACAGGACAAGGGCTGATGTCATATTTGCCACATCACGAGTTGTGTTCACCACATCCTGTGTGCACGAGTCTGTACAACGCACACTCTGCACTCTCCAGCCACGTGTCATCTGAAACAAATCTGAAAATGTCAAAGAGTTGCTCCTCGTCACAGGTGCAAGTAATTGGCTCTTATTTTGGAGAGCGAGCCTTGGTGGCAAGTAGTGACAGAAAATCTTTATCAAGTATTTAGTGCATCTAAATGATACATTCTGCTGAAAAATGGTATATGGATGTGAGAAATCTATTCGGTTTGATTCAGCTTAACACGGCAAAAGGAGAAATTCAATTTATCAACTGGACAAAAGTTTATAAAGGTTGAATTTGTTCTGCAGCTCATCCAAGTTGCTTCTTCAGTTCTGGTCAAAACGCTGGTGGACACTTCCTTATATCTGCCTGAAGGAAGGAGCTAACTACACTGAAACTACTCTGAAACTAACACACCTACTTTTCTGTTAATTAGCTAAGCCTATTAAACTTTGTAAATCGGCTACAACTCCATCCTCAAACCTAAATCAAAACAAACAAGAAAACAACAGGGGGACCACCTCTAGTGTGTGTGTGTTAGTTTCAGAGTAGTTTCAGTGTAGTTAGCTCCTTCCTTCAGGCAGATATAAGGAAGTGTTCACCAGCGTTTTGACCAGAACTGAAGAAGCAGCTTGGATGAGCTACGACTGAATTTAATGTCCAGTTTACAAATAGAATTATTACTAACCCTAACCCTCCAAAACCTGGTTGAGTCCTGGTTTAGACCTGGTTTAGTCCTAGTGTAGTCCTGTTTTAGTCCTGGGATCAGTCCTGGTCTGGTCCCAATCTCAGTCATGGTCTGGTCCTGGTTTGGTCCTGGTCTCAATCCCGATAAGTTTACGCGGGCGCACCTCTGGGCCTGTCTCGACCCTCCTGGTTTAGACCTGGTTCAGTCCTGGTTTAGACCCGGTTCAGTCCTGGTTTAGACCTGGTTCAGTCCTGGTTTAGACCTGGTTCAGTCCTGGTTTAGACCTGGTTCAGTCCTGGTTCAGTCCTGGTTTAGACCCGGTTCAGTCCTGGTTTAGACCCGGTTCAGTCCTGGTTTAGACCCGGTTCAGTCCTGGTTTAGACCCGGTTCAATCCTGGTTTAGACCCGGTTCAGTCCTGGTTTAGACCCGGTTCAGTTCTGGTTTAGACTTGGTTCAGTTCTGGTTTAGACCTGGTTTAGACCTGGTTCAGTCCTGGTTTAGACCTGGTTCAGTCCTGGTCCTGTTTAGACCCGGTTCAGTCCTGGTTTAGACCAGTCCTGGTTCAGTCCTGGTTTAGACCCGGTTCAGTTTCCTGGTTTAGACCCGGTTCAGTTCTGGTTTAGACCTGGTTTAGACCTGGTTCAGTTCCTGGTTCAGTCCTGGTTTAGTTTAGACCTGGTTCAGTTCTGGTTTAGACCTGGTTTGGTCCTGGTTCGGTCCTGGTTTAGACCCGGTTTGGTCCTGGTTCAGTCCGTATGCGGCGCAGAAGTCTGGCATCACCAAAACTGAAAAAACAAATCATTATCCATTTGTTCATTTTAGTTTGGGAGACAAATAATGAAGAAAATAGATTGTTTCTTTCGTTTTCTTATTTTTGCTTTTATTTCGAAAAACAAATGACGGCAAAGTCTGCGCACACACACCTGTACACGAGGCACACAGCCCACGTTATTTCCATTTTCCATTCTCTTCTCAAATAACCGCACATTCATCCTCCTTCGAGCCCCCGGTGTCACAGATCCTTATATTTACAGCCACTTAACTTGGGCGCACACTTGGGCTGTACCCCGCGCCGCGCCGAGCCCTAAATCAAACCGAGACACATCCAGGTATCAAACCGTTTGGAGACTTTTCCTCATTGAAATTCTCGCTCCGAACTCTTTCCACATGCTCCTGCAGATGCACAACAGCTGTCTCGAGTCGCGGCGGCCAGACAAAGTGTAACACGACCCGGGCCTCGCATCTCTAAGTGGAATTTAGGAGACATTCACTGGAACATTGCATCTATCGGAGCGGCGGTTGCCAAGCGCCGGAGACTCTGTTGACTTTGAGCTTTATTGGTCGGCGTTGCGAGGACGGGACGTGTGTTTCGGTCGGTCAGAGGAGGGGCGGTCAGGCTTCGGCGCTTACAACATGTTATGAGGTTAAACTGGAGCAGGAAATTGCGGTCTGGAGCGACGGAGGGAAGTCTCTTGTAAACAATTCAAATAATAAAGTCGAGGATGAAGGAGGATTTGTCCTTATTAAACGGTGTCTGGTTGTACTGGATAGACGGAGTTAGTACAACAACTCACCCTAATGTAACAGAGAATACTCCCTACAACTGTAGGTCTAAGCCAGGCCTAAACAAGGACTAAACCAGGTCTAAACCAGGACTAATAAATCAGGACAATACCAGGACCAAACCAGAACTAAACTAAGACTAAACCAGGTCTAAACTAAGACTAAACCAGGAGTAATAAATCAGGACAAACCCAGGACCAAACCAGGACTAAACTAAAACTAAACCAGGACTAATAAATCAGGACAAACCCAGGACCAAACCAGGACTAAACTAAAACTAAACCAGGACTAATAAATCAGGACTAATGTAACCCCTGACTCAAGAATAGTATAATAAAGTAATCTAGTAGTTTGGTCCAGGCACTAGGTTCTCAAGGACTACAATAGGAATAATAATAATAGTGCGAGAGTAAATGAGATGGCTGGAGACAGAGATTGAGCAAGCTTGATTTGTATTGGATAGAAAATTTAAACAAAAATAAAAATTATTAAATTTGTTACAAATGAACAGCCGGCAATCTATGTTTACATTAAGTTGTGCACCATAATTCACCCTTAGTCCTACTGAGCTCAGTATATTCAGTCAGTATAGTCAAAGTCAATGTTCCAACAGGATCCTCGCTGTGGTAGTTTGAGTGGTTACCACGTGATGAGTTCGATAAGAAGAGCAGAGAAGAAGGTTGCTCTCAGTTCTCAGTTCTGGGTTCTGGGACAGGCTCGCCGTTTCCTCCAAAGAAGAATCCAGATCCAGTCTTGTCTTTGTCTTCTTAATCGTCACACACACAAAAAAACCTAGCCTGTACAACAATAACAGTATTATAGTATACGGCTATTTGAAATCCAATTCTATTAATTTATTCTCACAATCAAGTAGCTATAGCTTTGTTTTGTTTTTTACTCAAAATATCAAGTAATATAACTCCATAGTTATATCAGAACATACATGTATGTTTTCATTTCTGTTAACTCAAATCTATCATTGCTGCACATGAATTTGTTTTTAACCCATGTAATAACAATAAAATGAATTGTTCTTTTAATCTTTTTGAACATATTAACCATGACATCTTTGATTAATATTTTAATCCAATTAAATTATTACCTTTTAAACCTTATTTAAGCTTTTATAAATGAAAATCAATCAATTATTTGTATTATCAAACAGATAATAGTTCCACTGAATCTGTAAACCCTTGCTGGTTTAACATTGAATTACTTTCTTTTACATAAAACACCCAATTACTGTTACATTTCACCATAAAACAGGGTGAAATTAAATAAAAGTGTAGTGACCTTTGTTGTCATCTGAAATATCACTTTAGATTACAATAAAACAGGTACAGATTGGTTTTACATTGATTTCAAGTAGTAGTTTACCACTCGCGATTAGCGTTAGCATCGCGCTAGCATATTTTTCACCATATTAGATCGGTAACACGTGTAGACTCACCAAGATGATGTGTTAGCATGAACATGGGACAGACACCGTCACAGCCCTTCAGGTTCACACATGGATTCAACTTAAAATAGCATATAAACATTTCCCTGTTAGCATTTAAATCTCGTACCATATTTACATCAAGTTCTATTTACATACACTCACCGAAATAATCATTTAGCTTAGCAAAAACAAAAGTGGTCATCACACACAGCCTCTCGCATCTGCGTCCAGAGCGTAAAAGAACGAAGAACTAACGTAACTCTGAGATCGCGTCTTGAGAAGGCGGGTCTTAAAGGTTGTATAGAGGATTTTTTAAGGGAAGAGAAATACAGCGACAGTCCTTTTTCAAATGTTGTGCATGTGTGACACCACCTTCCTCCTCCACAGCTCCTTCAGTAAAAACACCTCCTCCTCCCACCTCTTTACTCTAGAAATCACTCTTGTTTACAGCCGGTGTGCGTTCAAGAATTCCCGTTGAAGTGACCTGTCTAGAAATAAAATCCTTCGCCCGCTTCAGTCGCGCCGTCGCTGTAAGAAATCTCCAAGACTCACCTCAGTTTTGTTTTGCTCCTTTTTCCCTTCTCTTCACGACTTCAAAAACCGACTTTATTTTGCGGCGAACTGGTCGTGGATTCTCGTCCGCCGTCGCAACAAACTTTGTGCGAACTGCGAGGACGCTACAGATTAAAAAAGCCTCGAAGAACCGCCGCATAAACCACGTAATCCCCGCGCGCTGGCGAGTCAGTTACACTAGAAACGTAGGGAGTTTGATTGACAACCTAACAGCCAATAGAAAATGAGGGAGCCTCGTTTTGTATTGGCTGATGTTTATCTGGCCTCATTATGTCCACGGTTGATAGATTTTCATTCTTTTTTTTTTGGTCATCATAATTACAAAACTGCTGCATCTCTGTAATGGTATTTTAAACTTTCACTGACAATTTGAAACAAAAAAAAAATCCTCCATACAACCTTTAATTATTCTCAACAAATAAGAAGGTCATTATCACCCAACGTGACTGACAAACAGGAAGTCAAGAGAGAGCGAGAGGATCACACTTCCTCTTACCAAAATAAACGTTTTTCAAAATAAAATGAGTGTATTTAAATAAAATATGGCACATTTACTCTACTGGGTTACACTAAACCAAGACTAAACCAGGACAAATCCAAGACTAAACCAAAACTAAACTATGACTAAACCAGGTCTAAACTAAACTAGGACTAAACCAGGACTAAACCAAGACTAAACCAGGACTAAACTAGGACTAAACCAGGACTAAACCAAGACTAAACCAGGATTAAATTAAGACTAAACAAGGACTAAACCAAGACTAAACAAGGACTAATAAACCACGACTAAACCAGGACTAGACCAGGACTAGACCATGACTGAACCAGGACCAAACAAGGACTAAACCAAGACTAAATCAGGACTAAACTAGGAATAAACAAAGACTAAATCAGGTCTAAACGGGGACTAAACCAGGACTAAATTAAGACTAAACAAGGACTAAACCAGGATTAAACCAAGACTATATCAGGAACAAACCAGGACCAAACAAGGAATAAACAAAGACTAAATCAGGTCTAAACCAGGATTAAACCAAGACTAAACATGGACTAAACCAGGACTAAATTAAGAATAAACAAGGTCTAAACCATGACTAAACCAGGACTAGACCATGATTAAACCAGGACCAAACAAGGACTAAACCAGGACTAAACCAAAACTAAAACAAGACTAAACCCGGACTAATCCAGGAATAAAAAAGGACCAAACTGGTCTAAACCAGGACTAAACCAAGACTAAACACGGACTAAACCAAAATTAAACCAAGACTAAACCAGGACTAGACCATGACTGAACCAGGACCAAACAAGGACTAAACCAAGACTAAATCAGGTCTAAATGAGGAATAAACCAGGACTAAACCAAGACTAAACCAATTCCAAATTAACAGTAAACCTAGTGTAAACCAGGACTAAATTGAGACTAAACAAGGACTAAATCAAGACTAAACCAAGACTATATCAGTACAAAACCAGGACCAAACAAGGACTAAACCAAGACTAAATCAGGTCTAAACCAGGACTAAACCAATATGAATCTAAGAGTAAACCTAGTCTAAACCAGGATTAAATTGAGACTAAACAAGGACTAAATCAAGACTAAACCAAAACTAAACCAAGACTATATCAGTACAAAACCAGGACCAAACAAGGACTAAACCAAGACTAAGTCAGGACTAAACCAGGCATTTACAAAGACTAAATCAGGTCTAAACCAGGACTAAATTGAGACTAAACAAGGACTAAATCAAGACTAAACCAAAACTAAACCAAGACTATATCAGGACAAAACCAGGACCAAACAAGGACTAAACCAAGACTAAATCAGGTCTAAACCAGGACTAAACCAATACGAATCTAAGAGTAAACCTAGTCTAAACCAGGACTAAATTGAGACTAAACAAGGACTAAATCAAGACTAAACCAAGACTATATCAGGACAAAACCAGGACCAAACAAGGACTAAACCAAGACTAAATCAGGTCTAAACCAGGACTAAACCAATACAAATCTAAGAGTAAACCTAGTCTAAACCAGGACTAAATTGAGACTAAACAAAGACTAAATCAAGACTAAACCAAAACTAAACCAGGACTAAGCCAGGCCTAAAACCAGGACCAAACAAGGACTAAACCAAGACTAAATCAGGTCTAAACCAGGACTAAACCAATACAAATCTAAGAGTAAACCTAGTCTAAACCAGGACTAAATTGAGACTAAACAAGGACTAAATCAAGACTAAACCAAAACTAAACCAGGACTAAGCCAAGAGTAATGAAGGACTAAACCAGGACTAAACTCTTTCAAACTGAACTGTTTTTGTCCTGTTTGTAGTGTCAATAGTGAACACCAGTCTAGTTGTGTGTGTGTGTGTGTGTGTGTGTGTGGCACTGTTGTGTACTGGCGTTGCCGTGGCGACGCGGGCCGTGCGGTTGATCATTTACCGCGCCGAGGAGGAGGATTCTGGGACCGCATCACAAAATGTTTACAGAGAGTCGAGCTCAGTGTGGTACGGCCGCGGAGGCGTTTGTTTTATCATTTTATCGGGTTGAGGAATCGTTTAAATGCGTGTGTGTGGTTGGAGCGTGGACATGGCAGCTCGCAGACCGCACACATCTGACCGGACAGAAACAAGATAAACGCTCAAGAGACGCGAGATAACGAAGGTGAACGAGAACAAATGTGAAACTTCTTCTTCTGGTATTTTACTGTTTTCACATTTCGGGGTATTTCCCTTTGTTTTTTTTTCCGTAATTCCACTCATTATCGGACACTAAACCAGGTCTAAACCCGGACTAAACCAGGTCTAAACCCGGATTAAACCAGGTCTAAACCCGGACTAAACCAGGACTAAAACCAGGACTAAAACCAGGACTAAAACCAGGACTAAACCAGGACTAAAACCAGGACTAAACCAGGACTAAACCAGGACTAAAACCAGGACTATACCAGGACTAAAACCAGGACTAAACCAGGTCTAAACCAGGACTAAAACAGGACTAAAACCAGGACTAAAACCAGGTCTAAATCCAGGTCTAAACCAGGTCTAAACCAGGACTAAACCAGGTCTAAACCCGGACTAAACCAGGACTAAAACCAGGACTAAACCAGGACTAAAACCAGGACTAAACCAGGACTACAACCTGGACTAAACCAGGTCTAAACCAGGTCTAAACCAGGACCAGGACTAAACCAGGTCTAAACCAGGACTAAACCAGGACTAAAACCAGGACTAAACCAGGACTAAAACCAGGACTAAAACCAGGTCTAAAACCAGGACTAAACCAGGACTAAAACCAGGACTAAACCAGGACTAAACCAGGTCTAAACCAGGACTAAACCAGGTCTAAACCCGGACTAAACCAGGTCTAAACCCGGACTAAACCAGGTCTAAACCCGGATTAAACCAGGACTAAAACCAGGACTAAAACCAGGACTAAAACCAGGACTAAACCAGGACTACAACCTGCATCACAAACTGTTTACAGAGAGTCGAGCTCAGTGTGGTACGGCCGCGGAGGCGTTTGTTTTATCATTTTATCGGGTTGAGGAATCGTTTAAATGCGTGTGTGTGGTTGGAGCGTGGACATGGCAGCTCGCAGACCGCACACATCTGACCGGACAGAAACAAGATAAACGCTCAAGAGACGCGAGATAACGAAGGTGAACGAGAACAAACGTGAAACTTCTTCTGTAGAAAAATGCACGAGAAGCTTTTCATCAGAATCTCCTGTATGAGGGACATGTTTGTTTGCCGGTACAACTTTTCCTCCACACATTTCCAGCGTTTGTTGTTGAAAATTCAAAACTTTCTGTGAAATTCCAAATGTTCTAATAAACAGATCAGTGTTTCCCAAACTTTTTTTCTCGGGACCCATATTTTAAAAGTCACAAACCTTCGCGATCCAAGTCAATAGACATTATTTATAAATCACAAAATAAAGGTGGATTTGAGCATTATTGAACATTAATGAGGATATTTTACTGTTGACTGAGTGATCGTGTCTCTGAACAATTAGTATGACTCGAGTTTTAAAGCAGCAGTGTTGGGGAGTAACAGATTACATGTACCGGAGTTATGTAATCAGAGTACAAATTATGAGTAACTGTATTCAGTTACAGTTACTGTTTCAGTGAGTGGGAATTGGATTACAGTTACTTTGTTGAAATAAATAAATTACACGGCGGGATTTTCCTGTTTTCACATTTCGGGGTATTTCCTTTTTTTTTTTTCCGTAATTCCACTCATTATCGGACATTAAACCAGGTCTAAACCAGGACTAAACCAGGACTAAACCAGGACTAAAACCAGGACTAAACCAGGACTAAACCAGGACTAAACCAGGACTAAAACAGGACTAAAACCAGAACTAAAACCAGGTCTAAACCCAGGACTAAACCAGGTCTAAACCAGGACTAAACCAGGTCTAAACCCGGACTAAACCAGGACTAAAACCAGGACTAAACCAGGACTACAACCTGGACTAAACCAGGTCTAAACCAGGACTAAACCAGGACTAAAACAGGACTAAAACCAGGACTAAAACCAGGTCTAAAACCAGGTCTAAACCCAGGACTAAACCAGGTCTAAACCAGGATTAAACCAGGACTAAAACCAGGACTAAACCAGGTCTAAACCAGGACTAAACCAGG